AATAGGCCCCAGTACACTCCTTGGTGACCGTTACGGAATCTGAAACCGTCAGATACGTCGAGCACAGGTACTCATCCTGTGCACTCGTCATTCCTAGGCCCACGCTAACCGCGGTGACCACGGCGTAGTCACTACGCAACCCTGTGAATCTCGGATTAGGTCCTCCTTTTATCATGGTCAGTGGCCGTTGGTCACATGCGCCATCCCGAATCCAAACTCTAGTATCACACCTATTCACAGGCTAAAACACAACTACGTGAGATGCACACAATGCGGAGGTTTTCATTGTACATGGCAACAGCGAGACATCATCGACGTCTTGAACTCAGCTGGCTTCATGGACGATGACGCAGCATCAACTTCTGAAGTTGTAGGCATGTCCTCTGCAGCCGATGGAGACTTCTGCATAACCCATCCACTCTCCTGCCGCATCGGCTCGCCAGGCAACTGCTGCGCATAACCGATGGATCGAGTTGTCGCTGGACCTTGCTCTGTGGCCCATCTGACTGCTCTCTCATTCCTCTCTCGCCTCTCCTCCTCCCTCAACCTCTCAGCCTCAACTGCCGCTGCCGATTCTCCATACACCTGAGCTATCTACTCCATGTCCACAGCAACATCCTCACCTCAAGAGCAATTGCTTCCTCCTGAAGGATAGATAACATCCCTCGCGTTAAACAAGGTGTGAGATGGATATCTCTTCCATAATCAAGGACGAAGACGTCCTCAGCCGAACCCTTCATCCGAATACTGAATGTCACAGAAATCGCCCTATGCCCGCGGCAATACCCACATGGTATCCTCATCATCCAACTGCCACCTATAGCGGACTGTTACGTTGTTCGCCAGCTCTTTGGGAGTGAGACAGGATGCCTGCTTGACCACCAAACGAAAGGACAATGGTTGCCCGACGAGTTGTGATGGCTCCTCCACTATCTGACCACGAGAGAGTCTTCCTTGATCTCCTCAATCCTCCTCCCCCACCTCCTCATCGGGTACAGTAGTACTACTACCATCTTTCGACAGAGGCCACACAGCGCACTTGAGTGTCCCCACCGGGCATCCTGTTGATGACGACATCACCTACCCCAGTACTGCTCATAAAGAGCTCACGTCACCCTACCTTGGCATCCAGCTCGTTCTCTAACTGCATCGTGAGAGACTCCAGGAAGATCCGTGCTATGCCTACCTCCCTCTCCAAACAGACAGGATCCCAGAAAGGGTCATCCTTATCCTGGAGCCTGGAGACATAACAACATGAATGACAGCATAGGGAACAAGACGTGCTCATCTATATAGCGTTGGCCCTCCTCACACCACGTGTCGAACATATCCCTCATCAAGAACACCCGATTCTCCAACGTCTCAGGAGTCCACCCATAAACTCGCAGACCTGCTAGCACTACTACGAGGGGGTGGATGAGCAGACACACCTCGATAGTCAACACCGACCAAGACTTCAGTGGTCCTCCTCTCTGCGCCTTCTGATGATCTCACTGACTTCACATGCAGTACCGTATTGAACCTATTATCACGACTCCTACAAGGCGTCTTTCTTGGCATCCCTCATCACGTATAAGGCCTGGCCATCTCCTTCGCTATCAGCGTTGCTTC